TAACCCTTTCCCCCCGGGCCCTTTTTTTCCTCCCCTCCCCCCCCCCTTTCCCAAAAAAAAAAAAAAAAAAAAAAAAAAAAAAAAAAAAAAAAAAAAAAAAAACGGTCGTCTTTACTATGCCTAAGTAACGCTTCGTTGCTTCACTGCCCAGGAATACGTGGATGGTATAGTAGGGCTAATGAGGAGTCCGCAGCTGCAATGAGCATTTAAGAAATACAAGAAATACTAAATACAAGTGTGAAGAAATGCATCTTACTGATAGCATAGCTAGGATCACCACTGACTAGCAGCTGGGCTTCCCCCATCTCATGTTTCTCCTGAGCTGCTGACGTGTGGGGTAGAACTGTCATCAAACTCTCTCTGCCAGCCTAGCCATAGAGGAAAACGAGCTACATGTACGACCGACATACACCACCTACGTGGCAGGAGTATATTTACGACTAAGTTAAGACTGACGTAAACACTATTCCAGTTTGGTGCAACTGGCTTTTCTCGGGCGTAGTGTTTTGCGTTGGATTTATGCGGCGCAACTGCTACGCCTAACTTACGACCGGTTGGTGCAACCGGGCTCAGCGCCGTGACACTTCACGTTTTAGCTCTGCCGTTTAATCATGAACTGCAAAATACGACGGTTCAACTTCACCTCGTTCCTCCCAAATGTCAATTTTTCTTACCTTCTACCAGGGTGATAGATGCATTTTACCAGACTCCAAATTCACAGCTAATTTACGACACGATTCTGTAGAGAACGATGGCACCGAAATGTTCAACGTTTTCAGTACACTGATGACCCGGTGTTTCCAAAGTAAGACCTACAGTACAACCCTAAATATATCTTCTATCCCAGGTGTAACAGAAACCCCGCCCTGCATTTAGTTATAATGGTTTAAATAAGACAAAATTAAGTTTGATAATATGCATAGTAAAAGTAATACAATAGATAAATTAAAAATTGGGCTCAGAGATCAAATCAGCTAGAACGACCTATTGTGGTATATCGGACTGGTGCTGATAACTTGATCGACATGTCGCATTCCAGGCCCGTAGCCAGCAATTTCAAAAGGGGGTTCTTTTTCTGAAAAAGTGGACCTTTTGCCATGAAGCCTTCACGTGCCTAGATAAAATTTTACCCAGAGGGGACCTTTTCCCAGCAAAAGGGAGGTTCTATTGTACCCCCGAACCACACTCCTGGCTACGTGCCTGCATTTCATGTTGATATCCTTAGCTACATAACAATGTACCAGTAATGACCGCTTACCACCATCGCCATCTCCAGGCACGTCCCACTCCAGTTGACCTGGTTTTATTTGGGATGGCCTTTTTTAACCTGGTAATGAGAGGAAGAATATATGTATAATGTATAATGAAAGATTAACAGAATAATAAAAAGATTTTTTTGGGATGAAAAAAGAGTATCTCCGACGGTAAGGGAGGGACACGTGTCTTTTGTGCCCTCTATAGGTGGAGTTGGAAAGGGGGGTAGGGCATTGGGGGGGGGGGGGGGGACATGATCGTCTTACTGGGTTGGGGTCCACGGTAACCGGGTTGCCTTTTGGCCCATGCTTTCA